CTTGTCTGTGCTGGTTTGCTGCCAAGGACCTGTCTGTCTGTTAATTAAATGCCATAACTTATCTTTGGCTCGGATTGTACTTTGGGTGTGGAACGAGGGAGGTCAGAACAAGTAGCTATCAATGAATATTATTGCATCCATGTAGTATAATCCTATCAATGCTTCCTCTTGCACTTGTGACCCTCATTTGTGTGCAAAGGATTATATCTTATCATTATTACCTAGCTATGTGCTTAGGACATATCAGAGGAAAAGTATCACTTACGGACACAAACCGGAGTTTGGCCAGACCACTTGTGATCTTGTAAGCATATCCGAACAGATGTGCCAACCAGTCGAAAACCAGGATTGCATTGGTAGACCACAGTATCACGGTAACTGAAGCCATCACCACTAATGTGGCCATTGACAATTGGATCCGGAGAACCACAGTGTCCAGCTAAAATAAGAAGGAAATAAAAAAATAAACAATAAATTTGTCCATATGCTGAGACACAGATGTAAAAGCCAACAGAAATTGATAACAGTATTAAACAAAAAGTCATCTTCGCTGTGCAATAAATCTAACAAACTGAAAATGTTGGTGATGAGTTATTTAGTTCTTCATTTACAATGTTTTTCCTTTACCAATATGCATTTGTCATAAAAAAAAAGGTTTGGTAACTTTATATAGATAGTTAAGACTAATTTTGTTTAGTAACAAGGACATTTATAAAATCCGTTTCGAATACCTATTTATACCTTAAGAAACTCAAGGAGGTATAAATAACACTTTTTCCTTTAATTTTCTATCACAGAATGGTTTACCTGAGAAAGATTGATTGCCCTAAAGATATCAGATGAGCTTCCAAGATTGGAGATGGACTTTAATCTGGAATTTTCCTATTTTCCTATTGTTGCACAACCCATTAGCCATTAATCTATGTTCTTTGGAAAGGGACCAATTTGGAAAAATAAAAAGTAAACCTGTATCGAAATTAACAATCATCATATGCCTCTCGACATGTGGCTTTATGGAAACAAGGCACAAGACATTTAAATTGTTTTAAATCTAGTATTTCTGTAGATTTAAGTCTTCATTCAGGGTTAAGCTAACTCAAAATATATTTTGATGTATTTTGAAAGGAAAAGTTAGGAAGCATAGCCATTAGCAAATTGATTCATTTCAGTTACACATCATAGCATTTGGTAGATACACTAATTTCCTCTCAGTTTGAATTTGATGGGATTAAACATCTAAATAGTCAAGGGATTCAAGAATCAAAGCCAATACAGCAAAGGATATGTAAATTTTAATCAAGCCGAATTACACCTTAAGTATTTCAAGCAGTCTACATATAAACAATGCTTTCAGGGGACATAAAAAAAAGATCCACTTATTTAAGCTTAAGGTCAGCAGTATTTTATATGACATTATACTTTAACCCAAATCATATACTACTGAAATTCTCTTTTCAGAGATCTGCAAAAAATACATTGCCTTTCACAGATCATAAACATCATACATGATTTTGCCATAATATAAAAATGAATCTGCTAATTGAAATGTATTATTCTATTGAGTGAAGACTGTTGAGCTTCAAAGAAAATATAGAAGGAGGAATTAAATAATGCAGCCAATCTTAAAATGTAGGAAAACGAGAGCAGAAATTTAAAACTAAAATGAGGGTGACATAAGATTTTCCTTATCTGAATTACTTCCCAGGTTTTGGAGTTCTGGATTAATTGATATTGTAACAGGCACAGGAATCCCTTATTTCAACTCTTTTCCCCTCATCACTAATCCACACTGATAAAACATTAGGGGAGGATTTAAAAAAAAGAAGGAAGGAAGGAAAGTATTTCGTGAACTATTTTATTAACTGTAATTAATATGTTTGCATAATATAATATAAAAGTCAGGGTTTCTTTTTCATTTTTCACATG